GTCACATCGCCGGGGCTAGCGTTTGGAAGCCTGCTCTATTTCCATCACTCCCCGCTGAAAATCAGACAAAGTGAACCAGGAAAATGACTGTGGGAGAGAGCGAGGGAGAAACGGGGAGAGAAAGGAAGAAAACATGTGTTGACACTCCTACATGAGTCTGTGGGTTTCCCTGCCTGCTGTAGCGAGCTGCTGGAAGGAGGAGCTTCCCGTACAACATTGTGTCTATACAGAGAGAGGAGGGAAAACAGTTGGATTCAGCTGACAGTTTCTGTGCCAGAAATGCTTTCTCATCTTCATTCCTTCGATGGATAGTTTGGGAGCCACTGGAAGGACAGGACAGAGGAAAAGGAATATTACATGTGATGCATAACATTGCGTGTGTTTTATATATTTGTTTCGAAAGCTGCTTATCTTTTCATAGGCTTTTTAAATGGCTTCTCTTTCCTCATGACCATTTAATTGGTCTCGTATTCCACAGCCATCTCCCCCTTTTCCCTCCCCGTCCACCGCTCCCTTCCCCTCTGACTGTCAAGGGCTTATTTAGGAAGTGCAAAGGGGAGGGAAAGAAATCCGGGTAGGGCAGGGAAGCGCTTTTCTTTCTTTTTATTTTCCTCCCTCTCTCTCTGGCTGTGTGCCTCATGAGTGGCAGACGGTTCTACTAAAGGAAATGGGCGTGTCGGAGGCAGTCTGAATGCTTGGATTTAGCCAGGAATGCTCTACTGTACTAGATTTTTCCACACCTCCCTTTTACATTTTCGAGGAGGGTGATTTTTGATGATATATGCGTGTGTGTGTTTGAGGGAAAAGAAAGGGTGCATTTGGCTGTTTGGAGAACATATGTGATGGTTATCTCTGTGTGTGTGTGTGTGTGCGGAGAGGAAGTGCGCACGCGTACATTCCTGAGCAGTGACGGCAGGATTGCCCTGCTGAGGCCAAGAAGAACAGACTCTGTGTGAGAAAGCTGGAAAGAGATCACTGTATGCTTTCTAAGGGAAATGGGTTTATTACACAACACAATGTTGTCTCTCGTTTGCTTTTTCCTTTGTTTGTTACGCCTTCATGAAGAGGGCATTGTAACTTAAGCTCTGTTCCAAAAATAGTAAGCTGCCTACTTAGGGAGCATTTTAGGGCACCTGTGGTCAGTGTGTCCTACAGGATTTAGTTTTTGAAGAATGGTCTCCATTCCCCCTTTCCAAACCCTGAAATTCAGCTTGGACTTGGGTATAAAAACAACAACAATATTGTTTCTAGCTGTTCTCCAAACAACCAAAGTTAAAATACCATTTATTACAATCTAAATACTGTAAATCTTTTGTGGATATGTATTACGCTTACTACACATTGTCATGTGAACAGCAAGTCAGTAATTGAACTGTTTTGTTTTGCTAAGCTTACATCCATGAATATTGGCATTGTAATTTTACTGTTCTGTAAAATAAAATAATAGTAGTAGTAATGATAATAGTAATAATTATTATTATTTATTAATTAATTAATTTTTTGTAGTACAATATTACTATATTACATAACTATATAAATATTTCTTTATTGATTTGTTTTTATAACTTAATAAAATCAAATTATTATTATAGAAACATATTGAATGGGTTCTATTAAAAAAAACCTGACTGGCCTGAAACAGCTGAATTAAGAGTTTTTTGTTTGTTTGTTTGTTTGTTTGTTTTTAACGGTTTAAAAAAAAAGTCTAGGGTTTTTCCTTAAATCCTCATGCTAAAATTTAACATATGTAGTACATCCATCATAGTGGAATCAGTTGAGATATAGATAGAAAAGGCATATACTTCAGTGTAATTAGGTTTTATGTGTGATCTGTATTTTGCTAACATCAAAACTGAATTCAGATCAATTGTGAGTGGCGCCTCCTGGTCTCTATTGGTGTGGACAGTCATAATGCTGCTTATTAGTGATAATTTATTTGAAGCTGCAGATTCGGGTGACGTTTTAGCTCATCCGCGCATCACTACTGCTTATGTATAGCATTCCAAATCAGTCACTTATTAGGTTCCAATTAATTCAGGATACAGCTGCCTATGTAAACAAAAGACAGCAAGACAGTTCACTAGATTTGGAACAGAGCTATTATTTCCTGTGCTTTTTCAAGAGCTGTGAAACTCCATTCATTTTTCACAGCAGTTGAAACATCCCCAATATATCAGACCCACTGCGCTTGTGAAAGCGACCTGACTTGGACAAAAAAAAAAAAAAAGATTTGCCTACAGAGTAAATCACACACTAATGGACACATGTTGTCAGATTAAAGCCTCTCTCTTTATGGTCTACATAGGGCACACACATGTCTCACGCACATCACACACAGTTTAGAAGTCAACATGCCGCATGTGCAGATGACAGTCTCATTGTAACTTATTTCCAAACAGTGAGCAGAAGACATGCCACCCTCATAGGGAAGTGTAAGTGTGTGTATTTATAGGGGCATGTTAAGGCTGGTCAAGGTGTGTGTTGTGTGCAGGCATGTGAGTTCATGTTATGTTTATTTGCAGTGATCTGGATCACAGTCTTGGTATGCAAAGTCCAAAATTAAACAAATGTGGATTAAAATTGGCTTTGGCGGGTAAATAGTTAAATCAATTTAGATTATTTTGAATTTCAGTTTTATATTTGTTTTCTTTTTAATAAGATGCTAGTTCATCAAATTATTTAAATATAAATATAAAGTAAAAAGAAAAGATTCAGTGATTGTCACATGACACCTAGGCCTATTTGAATAAAATGTAATAAAACAAATTTTTATTGCTCTACACAGTTTGCTTTGGTAAATAATTCTTAAAATGTTGAATAAACATTAAGATAATATAAGATATCAAATATATAAATAGCAAAATATATATTGTCTCAAGAAATAATGCATATAAATATGTATGTATATATATATATATATATACATGTATGCATCTTTCTAAAAAAGTACTCCAAAAGGAAACACCAAAAGGACACCAAAGAACCAAATGATATAAGGAGCCCATATAAGCACATATGAAAGAAAAAAATAAAATATCTGAATTGTATAGTATGTGTACAGTGCAACAGCAAGTAGCTTTTTTACATTTTAGAGAAGTCAAGTTGCGATACTGAACAGGGCCACATGGAGATGCCAAAAAAAACCTAAACCAACCGCCTGCTGACTGCATATATCTACTACAGTACACGGATCCATTCAGAATAACTAAACAGCAACATACACATGACAATGTCATGTGAAATACACATCAAAACATTATCGAGAATGTGTGTGGAAACACTGTGAATGTACGGAAATGTCTGCATAAATACAATGTGTGATCAGTGCGTCAAGAGCGCTCATACACGCATTAATATAACCGACTCACGAGTGCTTACTGTACGACTCGTGTACGCCTCCGCAATCGTCTTTACCTTGATTGCAGTCTTCATCTATCAAAACTTTACTAGCGAGACTGGTTATCCAGTCGAGAAACCGTAGTTTGCGTCTCATCTGGCCATACAGCGGTGGGATGTGTTGGCAATCCATTCAGTCTGTACTTCACACAGCGCGTGTGACGTGTGAGGGCTCGCGCTCTTCAGAGACAATCACAGAATATGACGGAGCTCGTGTTTAAAAGCGAAACACACTGGAATGAATAATTCACTGAAAACGCTACACAAGTCTCTGTTCTCTCTGCAATATCTGATGTAATCAGCCTGGTTTCCTTTATATTAGCGCTGTTTTGGACGGATTGTTTGAATGCATTCGCTTACTGGATCATTGGACTGAAAACTAATATATATGTTAAAAATATATTTTTTATTAATACATATAATTGATGGACAGTTTTTTTTTTTACTGACATTGATTAGTAAGGCGAAGTCGTTAGCACAATGCTAGAATTCCTCCGTCCTGTTATCTGTTTTGTAGCTGAATAGTCTTGCCAAAATCCAGGTTTCATTTGTAGACTATATGTCCCAGCATCTGGCCCGTCCTCTAGTCCCACTTATCACCACAACACACACACACATACTCACATACTTTAATTCCTTTGTCACCAGTCACCTTGTTTGTTGTTCAGGGAAGAATGTCAGTGTGACATATTTAGCCCCTCTGACCAGGACTAAAACGTTACTTGCAAGGGAAGCCCATGTTTGGCTATTGCGGCTGTCTTTTGATGTCCGTCAATGCCTGTTCCCTCCTTTATCCACAGAGCTGCTTCTCTTCGTCTGCCTCTACCCGACACATACAAAGCTTAATCATTAAGCTTTCCATTCTTTGTTTTTTTTGCTTCTGCCTTTTGCACACAAATCCTCTCGCAAGCAATGCGGCAACCACACGTCTCTGTGCACGCTCAAGATGAGTGGACGTTTATGGATGAGAGCGGAAAATATAAAAGGCCGCCTCCATGTTGTATTTCCTCTCTCTCTCTCTCTCTCTTCCTCCTTCACTTTCATGGTGGCTGTGACCAAGCATGCAACTGCGCCCCCTTGAGTCGATGCGGAGTCACTTCACCCTGTTTGTTGTTTCTACAAAGGTCGAACACTGTTATTGGACGCGGTTTTGCCACACAATCTTCACTTCCCCTCCCATGTCTTACAAAGGACATGTTCAAACATTTTTTCCCTTTTAGGGCTAAGGAAACTTTACCCAAACCAACATGTTGAAGCACAAACCCGATCTTTAGTTGTTTATCTATTTAAAATTAAAGTAACAAGTTATTTTATGTATAGTATTCCTGTTAACTGAAACCCTTGATGTCTGCAAGAGTGATATCATGCCTCAGGGCCAACCATGGCCTCATATTTGTTTTATGAATCATAGTTACTCTTTAAAAAGCCACATCCTGTTTACAATACTAACTGTAATGACCCAGGTTTCGTAATATGTGCCCTGTCTGTGTGTAGTGTCTATGAATGTGCCCCATCACGTTTATATGGCTCTGTTTGTGTTATATCTAGTGTAAAGTTGATTGTCAAACTTTAAAAGTGATTTTTTTTCCTCTGTCTTTTTGCAGGCCTTGTGGATGCACTTAGATGTGTGCAATGAGTGCTGTGGCTGACATGCCTCAGTGTTTTGGATTGCTGTGCTCTGGACTCAGTAGGACAAGAGACTCCCAGCACAGAACGTCATGAGCTTAGTCATCCCAGTAGGGGTGGACACGGCCAACACCTCGTACCTGGACATGGCTGCAGGCTCAGAGTGAGTTTCTCTCTTTCTCTCTGTCCTTTCATATTGACTCATCACTACCGTTCATTTCATTTTGTTCATTCTCTGGTTGCATCAGCAGAGAGAAACGCATCTGTAGTCAGATTTTTCCACCAACCGCTTCCGTTCTCTCATCTATCTGCTTCTTTCTCATCAGAAACATGCTCTGCTGCTACTGCATCCCCATAGAAAAAGAAATGATTTTTCAGTTGTAAGAATTACAGAACCTCAGACACTTTGATCTTCTGAGACGGACAATACACACACAGTGCATTAACATACAGACATCTGTTTCCACATCTCACTGAGAGAAAATGCGGGAAAATGTCTCTAACATATGCATTGGTTCCTCCTCATCCCCTTCCTTCCCTTCACTCAGCTCACTCAGAATAGTCAATAGTAGAATATAATGTTCTACGTGAATGCAGGTGACATTTACAGTTATGTTTGGTATTATTTGAATAGTCTCAGGGCGTCTGGTACAATGGTTTCATTCTTACAAGTAAACTAAAAGGTGATACAGATCCTAAGAGTTTAGAGATATTTGGCTCACTATAGAGGGTGTGCCATTTCCCAGTGTCTTTCATGCAAATTACTTTGTCCCAAAAGGTGTTAACTCTACTTGATCAATGCAAATTTCAATTGTTAATTTCTGTCTCAATTTCGGGGGATGATTGTCTTGGTCTTAAGGTATTTAAGTGAAAACTGCAAGAAGATCAGGGCGATTCTGCAGTCAGAATGAGCCCATAGTATGAAGTGTGTCCACACACTTCATACTATGTATTTTTCTAAAAGTCAGGTATGCATCTTACTCTTAGATTCATCTTTGAGAATTTGATGTTTTGTATTGATTTGATGTCTTTGAATTGGCTATGTAATTGGCATGATACATATTTACCTGACTGATAATAAATTGTTACATTTGATTTTATTCAGTTTTACTCTGTAATTATTAACTCTAGTAGATTATGTTGTATCCTTGTTACCGCATTTCCTGCGTCAGGTTAGTAACGGGATAAAATTCAGTTGAGATGGAGCATAGGGCACACCAACTGTATCTTTAGAGATCCGGCTAACACTTGGTATTATTTCAAGTGTACTTAGATTGTAAGGGCTTATAGGGAATTTCTGTTTAGGTCAACTGGATGTTGTTCGACCAACCTAAATAGTTGATATTTAGATAATATTATATTTATATAATATTATCTATCCGATAATATCGTCTACCCAAGACCCGCCTCCACCACGCCCCGCCCCGCCCCTGTCGAGACAACATTGCCGGCATGCACCATAATTACACCAGGTTCAGTTTGGTCTTAATTATGGGCACATTAAAGTTTGATTTTACTTTTCTTAGTTTGTGCTTAAACTAACAGAAAACGTTAGCTTTGCTGTTATGTTGGTGTTGCTAATTTCCACTCTGTTCTTACCAAATTTGTGTTTGAAATTAATTTCGTTTTGTGAGAACTGTTGAGGAAAAATAATAGAACCCAATTTTAAGTTCATCATGGTGAAGTTGGACATTCTGGCGGTGATTGTAAGAATGATAAATGTATGTTGATATCATATAGTAATGTCTTGAATAAAATATGACTATTTCCGATGTTTCTCATTCTTTTTGGCTAAAAATAACTGCTTTATTTATTTAGAAGCAGGGTAATTTAAATTTCATTTTTGTATTTAAATTTTTATATTTTTTATTTTGTGAATCAAAATACAACGGCCACAATATAATATTCGCTGCCGAAACTCCGAACGCGTGCATGTTGAGGGGCGAGCTGAGATATACTGTAGTACTATAATGTCTTCATCCATTTGCAACAAAACTTTATAGTTTTGTTGCAAATGAATTAAGAATTTATAGTGCTATATCTCAGCTTAATTAAACATAATTATA